TATCTATCTATCCATCCATCTGAGTATCTGACAATCCGTCTATCTATCTATCTATCTATCTATCCAAATATCTATCCATCCATCTGAGTATCTGTCAATCCGTCTATCTATCCATCCATCCATCCATCCATCTTATCTATCCAAATATCTATCCATCCGAGTATCTGACAATCCGTCTATCTATCATCCATCCATCCATCCATCCATCCATCCATCCACTATCTATCTATCTATCTATCTATCTATCCAAATATCTATCCATCCATCTGAGTATCTGTCAATCCGTCTATCTATCTATCCAGCTATCCATCTATCTATCTATCCATCCATCCATCCATCTATCCATCTATCTATCTATCTATCTATCTAGCTATCTATCTATCCAAATATCTATCCATCCATCTGAGTATCTGTCAATCCGTCTATCTATCCATCTATCCATCTATCTACCCAAATATCTATCCATCCGAGTATCTGTCAATCCGTCTATCCATCCATCCATCCATCCATCTATCTATCTATCTATCTATCTCTCTATCTCTATCTCTCTATCTATCTATCTATATCTCTCTATATATATCTATCTATCTATCTATCTATCTATAAAAACTTATAATTCATATAGATTTCAATAATGATTTTCATCTGCTGGATGACGAAACGGGTGAAAAAAATCACACAAGTGCACAACTCTTTTCATATGAGACTAGCAGAAAACACCCGTCAACCACATATTAACACGACAAACCCATCTAAACACCCTTGCAATCTATGAGTGTGCGCTAATAAAAAGTGCACAGTATTGCCATATTTTTTTGCATGTGTTTTGCATGCTAAGCAGTTTGTGTTGCACAAATGAATATGGTCATCATTGGGTATAATAGTATATTATTATGATACCATGGTAGCACACAGTACTTGTTGTGCTTGATGCCTCTGGCAGTGTTTGTGCTAATCTGATTAGTACATGCTGGATTGATGCCAAAGCTGAAACTCTGTTGTTTTCTTAGTCACTTAATACAATCATCATCACGATCAGATCTGCTAAGAATATTGACGTTTTTGAACAGCTGTAAGGAGGGAAACCACTCTCTAATCTGTCTCTTAAGAAATGGGATCAGAGCTTTTAACCGTTTAACTGATCGGATCTCAAACAATAGAGCTTCAAACACCCGTCACAGCTAAAGTACAGTGAGTTGATCCCTCATCCTCCAACTTCCAGTTGCCTTTGTTAACTTTATGATTTTGAGCGACCTTTCACTTTAAAACCCACATAAGAACATAAAGGCATTATGTTCTGCTTTATTGTACAAGCAAATGCAATAATTGATCACTTCATATAACGAACCCTGTCGAGACACATTAATCTCCGGCGTTTCCTAACCTTAAATGATAATGAAAAGTTGTAGTTGTCTGGGTGATGCTAAAGCTCTGGCATGCCGAGGAACGTTCACTCGACTGCTGGCACTCGCTGCCATTAAGCGACGGCGCATGGCGTGCTGCCACGGCCTGTCAGGGGCCACTTGTGACTTTGAGCGGCACATTGGAGCCATGTTGCCATCTATTCAGGGCTCGGTCTCTCTGAGCGGCCAACAGGGCTCTGAGCTTTATTAAATAAAGTCCATGTGAAAGGTCCTCGAGTGCACAGACACGGCTGGACGTCTGGCACCGCGCGGCCGTCTGTTTTCCCAGCAGGCCTGATCTGAATGCTTATTGATCGGCTCTTTTCTTTGGCTGGTGTTTGTGAGCCAGAGGACAGCTGGGATGGTTAAGGTGTAGTTCAGCTTCTTAATGAGTCACTGGTAATTAGGGCAGCTGTAGTTATACTTCTGACTTTAATGACTCTTGTCAGAGAGCTCAGGGGCTTCAGGTCCAAGATAAACGGTCTCAGATTAGTCGTCTTCTGCCTGTAGGAACAAGAGACAGACAAGATCAGAAACAAGCTCTGAATTCATCTATCTATCATCCATCCATCTGATTATATGTCTATCCATCTATCTACCCAACTAACAATCTCATCCATCCATCCATCCGCCCGCCCGCCTGCCTGCCCATCCATTATCTGTCTATCTGACTATCTATCTGTCGGCCTATTTCTCCATCTGTTTATCCATCTATCCGATTATGACTATCCATCTGTCTACCCTGCTATCCATTTATCTGTCTGACTATCTATCCAACTATATCTGACTATCTATCCATCCATTTATCTAAGCTATTAGTCTATCCAAGTATCTACCAAACTATCATCCATCCATCTATATATCTGTCTATTTCTCCATCTGTCTATCCTTATATATTTCTTTCTGTCTACCTGACTATCTATCTGTCTAATTTTGTATCCGTTTATCCATATATTTATCTGTCTGTCTATCCGTCTATCTATCCGTCTATCCACCTATCCGTCCGTCCATCCATCCATCTATCTATCTATCAATCTGTCTAGCTACCAAACTATCATCTATCCATCCATCCATCCACAAATGCTGCAGGACACACTGAAGTCTGTTTTCAAATTGTTCAAACCACACTGATTAACTCCACTAATTAAGATTCATTGTTAGCACCTACTATCACTCATGTTTGTTTGTGATCATTATTCATAAGTTGGGAACAGGCAGGATTTTTTTTAAACTGCATAATGGCCGTGTCTTTCTCCCGCTGCTTTTAGAAACAATCCCGATTAATCCCGATCCCAGACACTCAGCGGCTAACGAACGGCTAAACAAACAGCATGTAACGATGCACAAACCTCGAGTACGAAACACATGCAAACGCCCGAGTGGAGCAGAATTCCTCTGCTGAGATTTACAAGCAAACGTCACCTCTGCCAACGCAAAGAAAAGAGGAAAAGAACAGAATTCCTGTCCATTAGTGACGAACCTACAAATAATCCAGCAGAACTAAAAGTACAGATCTTCCTGTTCTCAAAAACAAACCATCTTCAGTTTAGCCTTCAGATTGAATTTAAATAAAGACCAACACAAGCTTTGTGACTAAAGTCTCTAAATGACACCTACATACAGTACTGCTATTAATATCTCCTAAAATAACCACTTCATTATAAAGTAATCAAAACATGCTGACTATTCAGAACACACTATTAATGTCCAACCCTTCTTCGACTTCAGCAGATTCCTCTAATATAAGATGAGCTCTGAGCAGAGGAATTCCAGCTATTGCTGAAGTCGTTCTCTGATGATTTTAGTATGTAATCATTTATTCCGAAAGCATATTTCTGAAACATAAATTAGGTCAGGACGTTTGTTCACAGCTCAGTGGTTTCTGGTAT